AGTAGTAGTAGTAGTAGTAAGAGAAACTACAAGTATAAACATCTCTTACAGCAATGCGATTCAGAACAACAGCTGCAAGGAAGGAGCAGTAACAGTAAGAATTATCATGAAAATGGATGATAACAACCATGACAGGCGTGGCAAGTAGGAACAACATCAGAACTAACCAAACATGAAGTGGATCGCAAGTTTATATGCGAAGGAGCACTCGGACGACGCGAAGCTCCATCAACTCCAGGCCCAGAGGTCGCGACTCCGGAAGCTCCTGCAGAAAAGACCCTGGGCTGCGACCCTTCACCCGATGTGGCCTTGCTGGGGATCCGGCACTCATGACGATGCAAATTCGGGGCCTTGCGAACAGGAGCAGGCTCAAGACAGCAAGACCTCGAACTGCTGAGCCCTGGACTTCGTCTCTTCCCTCTCGACGTTTTCGGCTTTGTAGGCATGGAAGAAGCCGAACTGCGGGAAACATTTCGGGTTGGGCCCGGACCCTTGCAAGAGTATGTCACGCATGCCTTGTCGAGTTTCAGGCCCTGACAGGTACAAAACTGCTTGATACATTTTCTGAAGGCGCGCTGCACTCTGCAGGAAAAGGCAGCAAGGGGCACCAGGATCGTGTCGCCCTCAGCCACTTGCTCACGCTCGAACTTCTTGTTGAGGCCTCGCGCGGAAAAGACATGTCAAGCCTGCATGGCCTACGCCCGTGCTTGCCCAAAAGCGTGATTTGGCGCACATCGGATGTAGACAAAGAACCCGATACCTGCAAAGTTCTGCTGGGCAAGGGTCCGAAGGATCACCAGGAATGCAGGGAGGCTCAGCTCAGAGCTGCAGAACAAAGGAATGAGCAGCATCAACCAGATCCAACTTCCTTCGCACCGAGAAAATCCGACACAGATCTCCCAGCGCACAAAACGAAATGCTCGATAGCAATCTAAAGATCCTTCTGGAAGCCGTATTGTGAAGCCCTCCTCCTCCACTGCGGCTCTGCCTGCCACAGCCCATGAGCTAATTAGCGCTTTACGGCAACATCAGTGCACGGGACTCAACCCCAAGTTCGAGACCGTGCGCCACATCACCCTACTGTAGGGTACCCTGAGTTTCGGAAGAAGCTGCTGAAAAGAGGCCCCCAAACCCCAAAACCATCACAAGCATCTCACGTTACAAGTACCCCGCCTTCTTCAGTGGTGGTTGTCGCCGTGGTCGTCTCCTCTTTGTAGAACAACTCGCGCTGAAGAATCACGGGGCAGCCCTGAGCTTCGCTGACAATTCTTCAAAGCTTCTCGTGCTCGGTTGCTCAGTGTCGAGCTCGTGGTGAGCACTCCCCCTCCTGCCAGCACAACATGGCAGCTTGCGGAAGCTCGCGTCTTTCACACTGTGGAGATGCTGCTGGGCTCTACCAACAGCCCTGGCAGCTGAAGGTAAACAAGGATCTGTGAAAGCATGTCCTGTCGGCAGCAGTACTCCGTAATTCCCGAGCAAAGAGTGTCACACCTGACTCTCGAGCAGTCAGACCAGGCGGTAAAATGCCCGAGCAAGAAATATGATCAGCGCTCTAGGACCTAGGAGATGGTGTACACCAGCAAGCGGGCAAGCCCATGATCAAGATAAAGAGAGCTAGCTGAATCAGGGGTTCTTGTCCCAGGAACTCTTCCGAATACCCAGATACGTTTCTGAGCATACCCTTCGTACCAAGCGGCATGATCGGCAACTGCGCTGGGCATTTTGCGCGACCGCGGTGGTTCTCACAGCAGGACCACCTTGCCCGTCTGGGATCTGTTCAGCTCCTCCAAGCTATTTTTCAATGCCGTCAAGAGGCCCTTCTGCATTTATGTCACAACGATGGCCGTCCAGGCCTCACGACGTGTTGGCAAAGCTATTGGCACGAAATGCAGAATTCTGCAAAGATCTGCAAAGAATGTTGGGCACCGCTGCATTCAAGAACGTTCACTTCCCCCGAGTGGTTCCTTGGATCATGCAAGCACATCAGAGCAGCTTGGGCATTGCGGCTGGCCCCTGGAGCTCCTAGAATGAGCTGAGTGACAGCCACGGACACGGAGAGTTCTGAGGCAGCACCTGCGTTCGACTCTGGCGCCCGGCGAGCTCCCGAGAAATTACCACACTTTCAGTGACTTCAGCACGAACAGATAGTCATCAGACTACTCATCATCACCACCAGCGCGCCACCGGCACACATGCGTTGCAGCCATCATAGCCATCGTCATCCTCGTCGCAATAATGGCATGGGGGCCTTCACGATGCCAAAGCAGTAGGCCGTGCATGAACAGCAAGCATCAGAAGCAAACCAAAAGTCCAATGATAGCAACCCTAGAAGCAGCAACAATGAAGATGACCATAGCGCTACACATAGCAACACTGGCAATGTAGAGATGTCTTATCAGTCGCTCATCTCACGAATATTGTGATAGAATCACCAACAAACACAGGTCACGGCGCTCCAGTACCAGACGGAAGAAATTTCCTTGACCAGAAGCAATACATTGAGTGATGCTTGCAGTCTGGGTGGATACAAGGTTTACATTGGTGGCCTTCGGCAGCTGCATAGCTAGGCCTGGCAACTTACATCGAGCCGTCATTTGGTCAAGGCAGCATCACCAGGCGGCGCACACTCCAGGTCTCCCGGAAGTCGGGTGTCCCTGGCCCGAGAGGGGCACTTTGACTCGCAGATTGGCAAATGTGAGCACTGCGACACTGCCTGCAGGAATCCGAAAGCCGCTGCGAGCTGAAGGCTTCGCAGATCTCCGGCTCGCACAACTTAGTCACTGCCCGTGTGAATCGCACGAGCTCCACAAGCTTACGATCTTTCAAGCAAGGGCCCGGACAGCGTCCAAGGACGTGTTTGCAATTCCCAGCCTGGACGGCTCAAGCTTTGCGGTTTCAGTCGTGGCTTCGGCCTTCGGCTTCAGCCTTCCAAAAAGAAGGTAGTTGTCCACGATCGTCGGGCAATCTGTGATTCCCAGTGCGTTGACGTAGCTCATTCCCTGCGCCCATGGTCAGACCGTAGCAGACTCACACACGTCGCTGACATGAAGATGCCAAAAACAACATCCGAGGTATCAGCAGGGCAGACGCAATCGCAGAAAGCAAGGACCTGAGATGGCCCTTTTCAACGTCCTGACTTGCGACGGAGGGAGACCTGCGAACTGGGTTCACAACGTCCAACCGGTCATGGCACTCATCCCGGCGGTTGTACATGTCCAAGTCCACCAGGTGCTGCACATGGCAAGACTTGAATCGGCTCAAATGGTAGGTACATCCTAGGAGCATGTCCTCACAACCGGCGAGGATGTAGCTTGAGTCAAACGGCACCCGGGCCTGCAAAACACCCAGAGCTCTCACGGGGCGCAGCTGCGCTCTGTGAATTCGGCTCGGGGCGCGGCTTGCTCTGGGATCAAGTTTCTTGGCTGCATACGCCAAGCGAACTGGCTGTAGACGTCGCAAAGGTTCGAACTGGAGGCTTCCGACTTCCATGAACATGAAGGTGAAGAGGGACGCTGCAAGCTACATGACTCGTTGAAAAAGACTGCATGCAGGACACGGTATCCTGGCACATCCCCGCTCGATGTTAGGAGGCGCGCATGCATTCGTCCCGAGTCTCGAAGCTGCAGCCTATCGTAAAGCACCGAACGTGGGTAGCGTTGCAAACGAAGGCCAGCTGAGCACAGCACCACCATCATGCAGCGACGGTCGACTTGACGTCGTCATTATCGCGAGGGTTTTGCAGTCAGGCCTGAGCAAAAGAGACAGCCCCTTGGCTTCTCTCTGGAAGGAAGTCTCAGAGACGTACATTCGCTCAAGGTTCAGTCCTGCATCAATCATGCGGCACATCACCTGAGATCACAGAGAGAGCCGCAAACTCTGTGCGACATTCCCAGTCGTACAGAGGTGCCGAGCATTGATTTGCAATGTCCGGGCCTAGACTATTAGTGATTATTAGTGGATCCTTGAATTCACACCCCTCCCTCTCCAGAGCGGTTCCATTTACAAAACTAGCATCAATCCAAGCCGTACATCGGTTCTCCGCTCACGTGCAATCTCGTGCCATGAGCTCTGGTGTGGGGGGGAGGCAACGATTCTGCCTGAGCGGTCTCAATCTTGAGCTACACTGCAGCCTGTGTGAAGAGGGTCGAATTTTCTGTCGAAATCTGCGGCCGCAGACTGAATACTCCCACGTCTCGTCGGCGACTCGCCTTTGGAGCCTGTCGGAGTGGCCCTGACTTAGGCATTCCCCCCCTAACGCCGCGTCCTTATCCCGAAAAGCAGATAGGCCCTGACTCCCTAAATCACGTCACAGTCCGAAGGCCGAAGCGAACTTGGAAATCGTGGCGGCGGAACTCCCGCAAGAACGTAGTGCAGGCGCCCGGCCTGGGTTTGTCGATCCAACTAACTTTCTGTAAGCTGTCTAATGCATAGATGATAATTAATGTACTAGCACGAAGAACACGATTTGTGTAGTGCGGCTATGCGTGCGTAACTCGGCATATCCACCCACCGGTTGCTGCCCAGACGCCAGTTGTTGGTGAGGGCACAGCCATTACGCAAAGCCACTGGGTTCTTAGCGCAAAGTGTCGCTGCGTGGTGCCATGCGCTGCATCAGATGTTAATGTGGGGTTGGTGTAAGGCCCAAGCTTCCTCGAAGGCGAGCCAGAAGTCCTCCCACGGCGCACACGATCTTACAGGCCAACAGACTTCAACTGAATAAGTAACTAACCGAACAAGTTTGCACGAAAAGCCGGAAGATGCCTTGCAGTCTTTCTGAGAGTACGAGCATCCCGTCGGGCACCGCGTAAATGAGTTCCGTAGTCTGCCCCCCACCTTAACTGCAACCGGCGACCAGCCGTGCAACAGCCCGGACGATTTCGTGATGGCGTCTGTGACATCGCCGAGCTGAGAACTTCAATCATGTACTCCGCTAGACCCGTAACATCGCAGTTGTCTCCAGCCAATTGCTGGCAATCAACCTGCTCATGACACAGGCAGTTGAGGTTGTAGGGTTTGCACTGCTCACACCCATGCCCCGCACCAACTGCTGCATGAAGGTCTCGTCGAAGAGGGCTGCGAATGCATCTCTAATTTCATCCGTCATCCTCACACAGATCACATCTAGTGAATCTAGTGCGTCTTTGCTCGTTGACTTCCCGGCGCCCGGTTATTGCAGTCCTGATTTCGAACTCAATTTCGGGGGCCGGGCCCTCGATGATCTGGCATCGTGCCAGTGGCACGAGTGCCTTTGTCAGAAGAGGTCAACATCGAGACGCTGGACTGGCAGTAAGCGTGGGGCCCTCAGGCTCGAACCCCCAGAGAGAGGAGCAAGAGACCCAACCCCATGACTCCGCAGCGGGGGATGTCTGAATCCTCCCTAAGAGCAGTCAGACATGGCCGATGGGTGAGAGGACGAACTACGGTGAGACGGCCATCCAGGACGGCAGTAAATAATGCTGCAAGTTCTGGGTGGGCTGTGGTAGGCCGCTGGTCTTGTATTGCTAGCGGCCAATGGCTGTGGAGAAACGCCAAACAGCACTTGATGCGCCGCAATCAAATCTCTTTGCGGACCTTGTGTTCGAATTAGTCTGAGGCTGCCAGGCGCCATGCACATCTTGGATTCAGACTCCCTAAACATGCCAAAACCTGCAGCTGGTCATCTTTTTTCCGTCGAGAGGGATAGAGCGCAACCACTTGGACGGAACAGTCGAAATCTGCTGGCACCAGACGATCTATTTTTGTACCGAAGCCCTAAGCCAATTGGTACAGTTCCATCCTTGTCTGGCTCTTCCTGCTGCCTTTCTAGCAGCGAAGAAACCTCTACACCGCATATCCTGTACATACGGCGGGGAAGGTTCTACCCCTCAGAGCACCTGAGCCCAGGACGCAGACGGCTCGGACTGGTGCCTGATAGTGCGCACCTTGCATCGAGCCGGCTCTATCTGATGAGAATCGGCCCAAGGATCACGAGTAGAACCTTGCAGGATGACGGAGTAGGCTGCACGAAGCCGGGATACACAGGCGACTGAGGCTCCCGACAATTAAAATCAGAATGGAAATGCAGCACATCCATTTTCGCCCCTGGCTCGCTGCACTATCCAAGTTTCGGCCAACCACCACCACTCCACCCCCACTCCACCCCCCACCTGCCCCCCGGACACCGCCGCCGCCGCCACCACCACCACCACCACCACCAACAACAACAACAAGAAGCAGCAGCAGCAGTGGGAGTGGGAGTGGGAGAAGAAGTAGTAGTGGTAGTAGTAGCAGCAACACCATCAGCAGCAGCAGCAGTAGTGGTACAGTCCTCGTCAGCCTCCTCCTCCTCCTCCCCGCGACTAGCACCGTTCCGTCACACAAGAAGAAAGGACCAGCAGCCGTCCGTGAACGTCACCGGTTGTGGCAACGTCGCAGTGTTGATAAGCACTAACATCATGGTCTAAGTCTATATCTGCTGAGCCTGCTGTCCTCCTGGTTTTTTCAGCTTCTCATTGAATGCCCAGTGTCCCCCCCACGTGCCTGCATCTGTGCTTTCCGGGTCTTGATCAACTCCTAACAGGCTTTGGATGTCGATCCTAGCTTTGGGCTGCGAGGATTCTGAAGCAGGTCCTGCTCGGCTTGCGCAGTGTACCCCTTTGTGTTGTTCACATGAACCTTTGCAGCGTGGGTTCAAGTCTTGGCACCCCGAGCGAACAGACGAGACTAAACGCCTCGATTGCATCCAACATCTCACCCTGCGCGTCTACGAGGACAGCCATCTCTTCGAACATCTGTGCCTGCTCAGAGCTGTGAATCCCTGTGGCTTGATCAAAACACCTGTCGAGCTGCCAAGCCCCGTGCCAGGTCAGTGATGCTCTGCTCCAGCCGTATAATGTCCTGGAACCGTACAGTCTACGAGTTGTCGGGATACCGAGAAGTCTAAGCTGAGCAACTACTACAACAGGAGTGCTGCGAAATCCCCTGCAAAGAATAACACACCCAAGGCCACGCTTTTGTTGCCACGCTCCTTGTGCTTGTCCTGTATGCGCTTCACCTACGGTTCGATGCTCCCAAGCACGGAACTGTCTGCGGGGACAAGCAGAGAGCAGAGCCTCATCCAGGAGGAGGGCATGGGTGCCGGCCATCCTGCTTCAGCAGTCAGGACTGCAATCGCAAGATTTCGAGACTTCCCTCGGTCGGCTGGGCTGGCTGAGGAAGGTGCTTTTTGGCCACCATGAGTGCTGCAGTCTGCCCGTCTGAAATCATCTCCTGTCGCTGCTGCTCTGAGGCCTGCGACGGCGGCAGGCGTGAGTGTCCATCCGTCGAGACATCCTTGTCACGGTCACAGCAAGAATGCCTCAGGCATCAGGATCTGCATTTCGCGCAGCTGCCGACGCTCAAGGGTGCGTTTGAACTCCATCTGGGCCTGCACATCCAATGTCTGCGAGCCAGGGACGCACAGAAGGAACATCCCAGAAAAAGCTCTGACGTACTGCATCCACAGGCCAATGTTCCGTGTGATTGCAGGTTGACGCCTTCTGGAAGTCCATCAAAAGCTGTTGATGCCTCAGCAAACAATGACAACGGCCCACTATGGCTCTGCAGCTAAACTTCGGACTGCACGGCTACGGTAGCCTACGAACTCAAGGGGCCCTTATGGGACCGCAACGGCAATGGCGGAGGTTAGTTTCCATCAGGCACTGGAGTGGCTGTTCTCAGCTCCCTAAAAACTCTGCTGACCGAAGCCGGTTCAACGTCTCTAGACGTTGCTTTCAGACGCTTTCGCTCCCGGTCTTCGAGCTGCCAATCTTCGGCTTCCAGTCTGCAAAGACCGGAAGTCAACAGTTTCATCAGAGCCTTCTTGTTGCCGTTCAATTTGGTGAGGAAATCGACCACCATGGCTTGGTGCTCCACCCACCCTAGCTCCACACCCAAGCCGTCCACTCTCTACCTAGCCATCGCCACATCCAAAGCCGTGAACTTATTCTGGCTGTGGGACGCTTCTTTCATGAGGTTGTCGTACAAGAACTTCGCGTCCACAACCGACAGGGAATCCTTGAGCTTCTCGTCGGTCGCAATGCTTTGTAGCACCAACTCTGCCCCGGCTCGAACATCTTGCTTAAAGGCCTCCAGGGTGAAGTCGCAGGCGACGAGCTCGTAGTACACAGCCTGGGCCCACAGTAAGTCTCCGAGTCCACGTAGGAGAGCTTGAGCCTCGGCCGCCAGGGTGCTGTTCACTTTTCGCCGCAGCTTCCCAGACTTTCATCAGATCATCGAGCACGGTGCGCTCGCACCTTTCATCAAGTCGCGGTGAAAGGCTATCACCGCCGTGGCTCGGTGAGAAGAACCGTCCTTGTGGTCTGCCCAAGAGGCATCTGTGACAGTTCCCCAGCATAGGTTGGAGGAATTGGGTGGAACTTCAACTCTAGGCCCCGAGTCGCCTCTGCGGCGGCGATGCTGCGGTTGATGTCTTGCATGTCTTTCACCTTGAGCGTGGTGATGTTGTTGGCCAACATAGGCTCTGCTTCGGCCAAGTTCGGTCGGCCCTCTTTAGCCAGCCAAGCCAGAGATCCAGTGGCACCACGGGCCGCCGAAACCTCTTGCACTGTTGCTTCGGCCTCGGGCTGCGAACGCCTCTCCTCGGGAATAGCCATCGGGTGCTGCCGTTCTTCAATGGACTTATGTCCACACGGAATCGACCAACTCCTAAAGCTTCTTATACTTGCCGAACATGAAGCGTTCCTGTGACCCAGCCATCTTCAACTCATGCTCTCGGCCGTAGTCACCGTAGTCGTCCTCAAACTTCTTCGTGAGCCCTTTCCAGGCGGCGAAGTTTGCACATTGTTTTTGGAGCAATCGCCTGCGATCCTCCTCGAAGCGAATGATGTAATCGGCCACAGTTTCCTTGTTTGAACGGGGTGCTCTGAACAGGGCGCCTTCCATCGCCCTAGGCAAGGTTGTCTCCGTGCACGGCTCGAATGAATGCCTCACGTAGATTTGCGAGCACCGCCCCGTAGCCGTTGGGGCCCTTGATATCGGACACTGGCACCCATCCACAGCCGCCTTCGCCTGGCCTGTCAAGAGTTGGACCCTTGCTTCTTTGCTGGAACATCCGCCGCGGCCTGCCGCAGCTCCGAGTCCCTCAGGTAGCTTCGGAAGGTAGCTTGCGGGTCTTCGCCACTACAAGCAGGTGGCGGGCCTTGTCTCTGTAGACCCATCCTGCCTCTCCTTGGCCGGCTGCCGCCTGCCTGCCCGGCCATCTGGGCTCACTCTCCACAAGGCGATCTCTCCGCAGCTCAGCCGATCAGGTAGCCAAAACCTTCAGAAAGGTCGTGGTAGTCCTGGCTCGCTGCGGTCACGTCCCGGCGAAGCATGTAAAAAGCTCCGCTACCAACTGACAACCGTCCACTATGGCTCTGCTAAACTTCTCGCACAAACGTTTTTTCATTGCACGTCAACGGTAGCTTAAGAACTCAAGGGGCCCCTATTGGGCAGTAAAGACAACGACGGAGGTCAGAGTGGCCATGCAAGGCCACAGGGTGTTTCCGAGCCAAGGAATCGACTTCTTGGCCATGGCCTGCTGCATGTTGGTCCTCTGTGCGGTTTCCGAGTTTTACGGCACCTTTTCAACATCTGACCGGCACTGTCACTCTGGCACTGTCCTGATCTTCATCTGCGCAGAGTTTGGCTGCTTGGCAGCTTCGTCCTTGCCCGAAGTGCACTTGACAAACCCCGACGCAAGGTCTTGCTCCGCCTCTGAGCGCTGCTTCAGAACCTCTAGGCCATGCTTCACATCGGCCACATGCTGATTGGTCTCCTCTGACAGAGGCGGCACTGGTTGATGCATATGATGCAAGCAACAGCCAAGCCTCTACAAGCTTGTTGAGGCTTTCGGAAACCTCCGTTTCTCGCTCCTGGGTTGTTGCCTGCTGCAGTGGAATTACTTTTAGTGCGAAGCTGGCAGCAGCTTTCAGAGCTTTCAGAGACTGAGAGGCGCCTGGAGCGCCTCTTCAAGGACGACTCCCATTTCCTTGACGTTGCTCCTGCCTTTTTCCAGCAATCCTGACACACTGCCCGCCCTCGCAGACAAAGGGTGAGACAGTAACGAAACCTTCCGTCCTTGGAGTTCTCGAACTTGCGTGAAGAACCTTGGACATCTTCCAACCGTACGGAAGCTTTTCTACAAGGCTGAGTGCTCGGGATAAGTGTCAGAAGCCGTGGATCAGGCCCCCTCATGAAGCTGTTGGCTTCCTCGTCTTGCTATAAGGTGATAGCCCTAGCACTGGCTGGCAGCAATTAGGTCAGGTACTGCGCCGAAGCTCGCAGTGCCGGCTGCACCTGAGTTAACTCAGGACTCTTCCAAAAATGCGGGAGCAGAGCGTTCGAGGCTGGGACCGAAAGGGTTCGTGGACTTGCTGCCTGTGCCATGGTCGGAGATGAAGCTGGTTCCTGGCAGACCACTCTGATCCTGCAACCTCGCTAGAAAAAGCTCCTTGCTCTGCCTGACAAACCGCGACTCCCCGCTGTCGACCTCGAGGAGCCCAAGGCGACGGTCACTTGCAGCGAGACTTCTGCACACCCTCAAAACACGGCCTGGCTAGCCTTCGGCCAGGATGCGCTACTTACTTTCAGGTCGTGGCCACCGCTTGTCGGCGCGTTCCTCCACCTCGCTTCTTCTCCTGCCCTTGCCCAACTCCGTTTGCATAGGTGCACATGCGCACGCATGCACGCCCCTTCTGATCCTTCGCAGACGTGTGCCTTACTTGTCGACCAGTTGATGGTTGCATGTACACCCGTCATCATCAGCCGCATGAAGATCGATTACGATTACAGTCACATTTGAACTGGTTCGCGAGGCGAATCTTGCCACAATCACTTTGTATCGATATGCAAGGTTGCCGATGCCTGCAACCTGCCTATGAACACCGAACACTGTGTCGTGCTTCTGCTGCTAATTTTTGCTGTGGCTGTCACCGTAGGGATGGCTGGCCACCCCTTGCCACTTGCTGAATGCGATTGTGGTTGTGGTCGCCGCCGCCGAGGTCCCGAGTTAGGGAGCTGTCGAAGCAAGAGTGTAACCAGCCCTTCCCCAAAAAAAGCGCACTCCTGGAAAAGTTGTTGATTCTTTGCTTGGCTTCTGCCATCGGCCATGGTTCGGCATTATGATCATGTCACCCCGAAGAACTAATCCCTAAACTTGCTGCCGCAAAACCCCTGAAGCCTAAGCTGGACTTCGGCCGCGCGCGTTTCTGAGGCGCTGGCGTCAAAGAACCCTTTGCTTGTGCCAGCCTCTGGAACTCTGCCAAGCGGTCCTCAAGCAGCTTGCAACACTCGCATTACAAACATCATGAACGGTATAGGGAGATTCTATTGCTGAGTCTTCTCATGCTCGAAGGATACAGGGCGACAAGGTGATGGTGATGATGACGATCACCTTCACCAGCATCATAATCATCTTCATGATCATCATATTCTTCTTCTTCATCATCACCATCATCACCATCATCATCATTGTCATCTTTATCATGGTCATCACCATGTTCTCGCCACTGGCTGTGGCTGCTTGCTAGCAACAAAGACAGAGAGCTGAGGCATTGACTCTCACGAGCCGTTCTGCAACTGCAGTGCCCATGTGGCGGCCGAGACTGCTTGCCCTGCAGATGCTGTGTGTACTGTGTCGCCGTTTTGCTTCTGGCTAAGGAGGCTTCGGCCCTCGCGACAACGACTACGTTGTGGCTATTCGGCTGTTTTGTTGTTTCTTGTTTATGATTGTGGCCTGCTGCTTCTCGAGACTGCTCTCAACATACTGCTTGGCGTTGGCATGATTCGTTGGCCCAGGGCTAAGATGCGAAATTGCATGCAAAAGGTCTGGGGCCGTCGTGTTGGCAGCCTGAGAGCCACACTGTCAGCTGCCAAAGAAGGGAGCCATTGACAGTTGTTACCAGAGCGATCGCAGTGGTGGCAGCAGCCCCAAACTTGTGCATATGCTCAACAATCAACATTCGAAGGTAGAAAATCACGACAATCACAGTTGACAACATCACTACTAATTACAGCCGCCGTCGCTGTGATCATCATCGTCGTCAGAATGATCAGCATGATCGCCACCATTGTCACCATCTGATGATGACAATGGTGGCGATCATGCTGATGGTTCTGACGAGATCATCATCATCACCACCACCACCATCATCATCATCTGCATCTGCATCATCATCATCATCATCATCATCATCATCATCTGCATCAGCATCGCCATAATCGTGCTCATGATCATCACCATCATCAGCAGCAGCATGACAATCGTCATCATCATCATCATCACCATCATCATCTGCGGCAGAAGAAGCAGCAGCAGCAACCGCAGTATCACCATTCGACATGTCCTGACTATCATATGCATCGCTATCAATCGCCCAAAAGAGCTGCTACTGCGATGACTACGGCTGTGAGTACACCAACACTGGTAATGCCGATTCTCATTAACATGAGCGGTCTGGTGGTTGCCATTGTTGATTCATCCTTACCATTGCTGTCATTCTCAATCTCCAGCATTGTCATGCTGACTCTTGCTTGCGAGCACTATCATGAGCTTCGGCCTTTTGCAATCTGTGTCGCTTCCTTGCATCCTCCTGTGAAACACGAACCCGCGACGCCCTCGACGCCTTTGGTTAGAGCAAGGAGTCGGATGTGAGTGCCAGGCGTGGAAGGGCTGCGGACATCCTCTTATCTGACGTGACATGGGCACACCGCTTTCAAGCCCCAGCGATGTTGGTATCCCTGGGATTGAACATTTCCGGTCAACTTCGCGTCTTCGAAGCACGAAGGAATGCTGCTAGTCTCCTTCAAGGAAGCAGCGAACATTAACAGTGTTGGCTGATCACGGGTTTCCGGAGCCAGCCGATTCCTGCCTTCTCAAGCTTTGCAGAGCAACACATCAAGACGCAGTGAAGTGACTTCGACTCGGTGCTGGTATGCTCTCTGAGATGTCCAGGCAGTGTCATGCTGGCACGTCTGGCCCCCTCAGAAGATCGCAGACATCCAGCTTGGCGTTGGGGCAGCCTCTCTTCAGAAGCTTGAAAAACCTAGCGGCCTCTCCAAGAGCACAAACAAACCGCAGTGGCCTTGCCTTCTTCACCTTTCCCGGTGGCAGCCTCGGCAATGGATCTGCTGTGACGTAGTCCACGTTACCTCGGATGCTCGCTCGGATTTATAGGGCCAGAACAAAAAGGGGCCTCTGCTCTCAAGGGTCCCCTGCTGTCCAGGGCAGGCGTGGTGTAGCTGCGGGACGGCGGAAGACCTTGTTTTCAGTGCACCCGACTCCTCGCTTTCGTCACATGATATACCTTGCCTGTGTGGGTAGTCACGACTCTATGTCTGCATCTGTCTATCAGACTCTATGCAGCTATGTAACCATCTCGGGCCGGTCGATCAATGAAGGACATCATACCAGCTATGCATGCCGCAACAGATGTGTGCCCGTAGCTGACACTCGTGCGTATCTACTGTCCTTCATGTGTCTACTGTAACTGCGATCATGTCATCGTGTGCTGTACTGTCTTACGCTATATTATTGTATAGTATATGGTGTTATACTTTGTTATCTTGTACTACTCTGCATCATGTTGCATGACATGGTCGGTACTATATCACATTTTCTATATTCGACATAAGTTGTACTGGGCTACATTCGGTCATACTAAATTATGTTAGGTGTTGTTATGTTCTGTCGTGTTGTATTATGTTGCATCGTTAAACTATGTTGTACCATGGGTTATTATGCTATACTATTCTATTTCATGCTATACTCGGTTGTATATGATTATGCTGTGCTGAGGTATAGCATGTTATACTCGGGCAGAGTGTGTTACATTCTGCTGCCGTGTGTTACATCTGCTTTGTTGTCTTACATTATGCTACAATATACTGTTTTTGCTTTGTGGCGTTATGCTGCGTTACATGATGGTAGCTTCTGCTTTTGTAGGTTGTATTATGCCACTTTATGTTATCTTCTGTTGGTCTACGTGATGCTATGTTATGCGAGACTATGTTTACAGTCTACTCTATTCCATTCTGATCCAGCATATCTTTATTGCCTCCTTTTTTTACATGGGTCGTTGTCAAAATTATGGTCCCTTTTGGGGTACCCTAAATAATAGGTGCCGTATTATAATAAGGACCCAAAAAGGGACCCTAATTTTGACAACCACCCACATGATCCTCGCATTTCGGGAGCGTATGATACGTGGAGTGTAGGCTCCAGACGTCCTCGGCCCAAAGCTCCGTTGGTCAGGGGCTTCGGGGCATTCGCTCCGCTTGGCTGCCGGGCCCAGGACCTGAGGTGTTGGGAGCCGGTTTAGGGTTTAGGGTTTAGACCTTTGAGGTTTAGGGTTTAGGGTTTAGGGCTTGGTCCTTTGAGGTTCTTGAGGGGTCCCAACAAGACTTCCGAAGGCTGTAGGTTCACGGCTACGCAGCTCGGATGTGAAGACTTGCACTCTGCGAGGGTATTTGCTTCCCAGGGTTCTTTGGAATCAAGTGGGTTTGAAGGCTTGAAGCTTCAGCGCTTATCAGTGCTTTTAACGTGGCAGCAGGATGCACGCGCCCCCGACCCGTTCCTCCCTCTTGCTGCTGAGTGCCGGGCATCACCTTCTGGCTGGCATCCAAGCCGTTGGCCTTCAGCAAAGGCTTATGAATTAGTTTGCTACGAATTTCACAACCTCCGATTCTGAGGCAAGTGCCCCTGTGGCAGGCGAAGTCCTAAGAACCGGCAGCTTGCTCTCCGCTCAGAGCTCGCCGAAAACTTCGGCCAAGTCACTGAACCCTCTCCATCGGAGCGTCCAGCTCATTCACCTACATTCTGCATGTCTCGCGTCCAAACCTGCCCGGCATGCCTTTTTGATCCTGCCCTTGGGCCCTTGATGGTCTGTAAAGTGCGGAAAACTAGCAGACAGCGGAATCCTCCGGTTGCTTGCAGGTCAGGCCTCTATGTGAGATGTGAGAGGCTGAGGTCAGCAGGAGGCCCCCTCTTACCTCTTAGTAGTCTTAGTTCCATGTGAGAGCAGATCGTTCTTGCCAGTAGGCGGATGGCTCCACCTTCATCTCAGACATGAGAAGTTCCAGTGCTGGCATATCTGCGAAGAGCCTCTGACAGACTCCCACAGCTCCAAAGTTGCTCTCGAGCTGCGCTATGGAGACTGCTCCCGAAAGCACCATGGGCTTGAAGGGCTGTGCCATGATGGCTCCCAGAGCGAGGGCATCAGGCGGAACTCCCATCTTCTCTGCAGCCTGCAGTAAGGCTGCGTTCTGGAGGATGCGGCCGTTGGCCATGCCCTCCTTGATGATCACCTCCATGCCAGCCTCATGGGCTCGCAGGAGGGCCGGCCCACAGGATTGCTCTAGCAGGTTCCAGGTGGCCTGGACCGAATCGAAGGTTTTAGTCGCGATGGCCTTGTCCAAGGTATCAGCCTGTCCGACGCCTGACAGGCTAAGCCCGACTCGCCAGCCCCTGTCTGTCCGGAGTTCCCGGAGCTTCTCCAACACGTCCGCGTTGTCAAGCACGCCACTGTCAAGGGTCGCAGAATGGATTTGATAGAGCCGCAGGTGTTCACCCAGCAACTGCTCAGTCTCCTTTTCCTGGTGGAGTAGATGGGATAAAGAATGGTCCTTGACCTCATGAGGTTCGCCTCCTGTGTCTACCCTCCAGTCCGCTGTATATCTGTAGCCCCACTTCGATCCGACGGCCAGGTCATCTTTGCGAAGCTGCTTTTGTTTCAACCATCCGGACAAAAACTCCTCACTCCGACCATAGCTCCTTGCACAGTCGAAGTATCGCAAGCCCAGGGACCAGGCCGCATCCAAGACCTCCCAGGCCCGAGCACGCAGGGCCTCCGGCGTGCGTGTCTCCGGGGCCTCCAAGTCGCTCCCACGATCCAAATTGATGTACCCAGGCCGCCCAAGGGCGGCCAGGCCCAAGCCGAGTCTGGGTGCATCCACCACAAGGAAGCTCATTCTGGGGCACCTTCCTAAAAGGCAGATACTGCAGACGGCACAAAAAGACAGCCTGATCCTGCGTCTGCCTGTCAAGGTATGCATTTGGTCTCAGAGACAACCCCTTTGGGTCGCCCATGAGCCTCAAGTGCCGCAGAAGACGCGGGCATGCGCAAGACGCGAGGCAGCCGCGAGTGATGGTCAACTTCATGTCCCCGCGGCTTTCAATGCCTGTCGAAACGAAGAAGCCGTCTTTGAGGCAGAGAGGCCTGACGAGGTCGGACCACGACAAAGGAACAATGGATTGGCTCAGCAAGTCCTTTGTCTCGATCTGCCGGCATTCCAGACCTGAAGGTTGGATTACAAGCTTCGTCTTAGCTTGCGGGGATCGGGGTCTCGGTAAGTATGGCGTGCTTCCCCCCCACTTTTTGGCTAAGCTTTGCCGCGCACGGAACCCTTGTGTTGCCGACCAGCGGCGACTATGCAGATCTACACAGAGCTATGTAGCCTCTGTGCTGAAAGGAACACGGGAATGACGTGTTCTTTTCGACAGCTCTGCTTGATTCGTTAACGTTTGGCTGGTTCGAGAACCGGCCAATGCTGGCGTTTGCGAGCTCCCCCCCTCCGCGGAAATCAGCGGAAGGACAGGGACTCTACTCATGCAAGAGGAACCGTCCAAGCACTGAATACACCAGATACTCAAGAAATCTCAACAACGGCAGGCGCGATACTGGCCTGACCTCGAGATGCTAATGGGGCCAGCTCATTTGGAATGTCTCGCTGGCCAGACAAGCTTTCCATCGTCAGCCTGGCCAAAATCAGATCGGGAGAGGGAGAGCAAGAAAAACAAGTCACGATCACTGCAACATGACAGTGATAAAACAAGGGCTGATGCCGATAGTGATGATGATGACGATGATATTGATGATGACGATGATGGTGGTGGTGGTGATGGTGGTGGTGGTGATGGTGGTGGTGGTGGTGATGGTGGTGGTGGTGATGGTGGTGGTGGTGGTGTGGGTGGTGATGGTGATGGTGGTGGTGATGGTGATGGTGGGTGGTGCTGGTGCTGATGATGGTGCTGGTGCTGGTGCTGATGATGGTGCTGGTCTTGACGTTGTTGACATTGCGGACGATGTTTGCTGCCCATATCTGCTGATGATAACTGCTGGTGAAACAGAAAAATAGTAGCGACAAGGGTACCATGATGATGAAAACGATGATTAAGCTGAAGATGAAGGTGAATAAGAAGCAGAATATGATAATGATGGTGATGATGGTGATGACGGTGATGATGATGACGACGATTTTGAGGCTCAGGCCGAGGACAATGATGATGAGGATGGTGGTGATGACGAGTCTGAAGATGATGACAACAACCATGATGACAGAGGGGCGCATCGTTTTGGCGTTGGTGTCGATTGGAGTGGTCGTGGTGGTCGTGTGGTGGCGGTGGCGGTGACGGTGATGGTGCAGAAGGGCGGGCAGTGGTGGTGGTCGTGGTGGTGGTGGTGGTGGTGGTGCTGCCATTGGCGGTGGCAGTGGCGGTGTCGATGATCCTGGTGACTAAGACTACCATCATACAATGATACAACAATCCAGCGTGTAGGTAAGGTCAAAACCAGGCGAACACTGCCCCGGCCTCGATGGAAGTGCATCAGCAGAGCTGTTTGCAGAGTGAGGCACCTTGGAGCATGATGTTCGCGCTTCGTGGTGATGTACTAGCATATGAAGTTAGAATTGGGGAAATATTGGCTGTTGAGGGAAATTGTGTGTTTGGTGCTTGGCTCCGGACAGCAGCGTGCTGATCAAGCTCCCTGTGACGCAGAGCTTCACGAGGTGTGGCCCATAGCCGGTCTCTGCCTGGGACTGCGACATACGGAGAACGTGCAGCGGTATAGTTTTCAGCAGAGGACCAGGATGTGCATAAGCACAGACGGCCCTGGCGACAGGATGGTGACGACAATAACCTGAACGGGCAATGCTCGCTTCAGGCAGCTCTCGGCGGCGAACTTCAGCCCAAGCCACATCGCGAGCCACAATGCTTGGCATGGGAATTGCAATCATTACTAACCTGGCTCCAGAAGCGACAAGGCACATTATGCTGCAGCAAAGGTCAACAGCGACTGCAAATCATGTGCAGCTCCGGCGCACGGCCAAAATAATCTGAGCAAGCAGTCGTTGCGAGAGCACAGCCACAATAAACCTCAGCGAGCATCTGCCAGCAAGGAGCCGCTGCTTGTTGCTGCTATGCACAGGACAGCAAGAGGATCTGCCCATGGGGGTATGCCCCTAAGATATGATACGCCAAACAATTTTCTATCCGTCTACATGCTTATTCTTGGGTACTTGAAGACATATGTAAGTATGTATGTACGCACGTATGTATGCATGTATGTATGCGTGTGTATATGTGTGTATTTGTGTAGGTATATGTACATACACATATGCGCACACCATGTGCATGTTGCAGATGTATACATATAAACATACATACATACATACATACATACATACATACATACATACATCCATGCATGCATGCATACATACATACCTACATACACGCACATACATACATACATACATACATACATACATCCATCCATCCATCCATGCATGCATGCATGCATGCATGCATGCATGCATACACACACATACATACATACATACATACATACATACATGCATGCATACATGCATACATACATACATGAGCTCACATTTGCGGACAAAAACAAAAACAAACAAACACGCCAGTAAAGAAACACAAGCAAGTTATCTGTACATATCTACAGATATAAGCAAATCGCAGGATTTTTTACACATACATGGATATAGACGCAGGTAGATGCACACGTATGTGAGTAGATGCATGCAGCTGCATGTAAGTAGAAACATGTGTGTGTGGGTGCATATACACATACATATATGGATATATACATGTGTATATATATACACATTTATTTACTTATTTAAATTTGTTTACATATATCAACATATATATTCATACACTCATACATACATACATACATACATACAGTACATACATGCATGCATACATACA